AATTGCAAAGACGTCCCATGCGAAACCGGGCCCGAACCAGGCCAAACCAGGGCCAAACCAGGCAAATTGTGCGGACGTCTCAAGCGAAACCGAGCCCAAACCAAGCCAAACCAGGCAAATTGTGAGGACGTCTCAAGCGAAACGGGCCCAAACAAGGCCAAACCAGGGGCCAAACCAGGCAAATTTTGAGGATGTCTCAGGCGGGGCGCGCCGCCCAACCAGGCCAAACCAGGCCCCAAACCAGGCAGATTTCGAGGACGTCCCAAGCAGAATCGCCCAAACCAGGCTCCATCCACTCTCCTTAATTTGAGGGAGTTTCTGTGGAACTCACGTCATCCTCACCCCCGGCGCGAAGAGCACGAGCCCAGAGCGGCCTCCGGCACCGTTTCCGGACGGATCCGCTGGATCCGCTGGATCCGCTGGATCCGGTGACGAATCCCAAACCGGCGCCCTCGCCTGAGACATCCTCACAAAACGGGCCCCGGGGGGGATGCCCAGAGGAGCCCAGAGCGGCCTCCGGCACCGTTTCCGGACGGATCCGCTGGATCCGCTGGATCCGCTGGATCCGGTGACGAATCCCAAACCGGCGCCCTCGCCTGAGACATCCTCACAAAACGGGCCCCGGGGGGGATGCCCAGAGGAGCCCAGAGCGGCCTCCGGCACCGTTTCCGGACGGATCCGCTGGATCCGCTGGATCCGGTGACGAATCCCAAACCGGCGCCCTCGCCTGAGACATCCTCACAAAACGGGCCCCGGGGGGGATGCCCAGAGGAGCCCAGAGCGGCCTCACAAAACGGGCCCCGGGGGGGATGCCCAGAGGAGCCCAGAGCGGCCTCCGGCACCGTTTCCGGACGGATCCGCTGGATCCGCTGGATCCGGTGACGAATCCCAAACCGGCGCCCTCGCCTGAGACATCCTCACAAAACGGGCCCCGGGGGGGATGCCCAGAGGAGCCCAGAGCGGCCTCCGGCACCGTTTCCGGACGGATCCGCTGGATCCGCTGGATCCGGTGACGAATCCCAAACCGGCGCCCTCGCCTGAGACATCCTCACAAAACGGGCCCCGGGGGGGATGCCCAGAGGAGCCCAGAGCGGCCTCCGGCACCGTTTCCGGACGGATCCGCTGGATCCGCTGGATCCGGTGACGAATCCCAAACCGGCGCCCTCGCCTGAGACATCCTCACAAAACGGGCCCCGGGGGGGATGCCCAGAGGAGCCCAGAGCGGCCTCCGGCACCGTTTCCGGACGGATCCGCTGGATCCGCTGGATCCGGTGACGAATCCCAAACCGGCGCCCTCGCCTGAGACATCCTCACAAAACGGGCCCCGGGGGGGATGCCCAGAGGAGCCCAGAGCGGCCTCCGGCACCGTTTCCGGACGGACGACCTGACTGCATAACACGCCTGGATATGCCGACGGGGGCGAAGGAGGAGGAGGAGGAGGAGGAGGAGGAGGAGGAGGAGGAGGAGGAGGAGGAGGAGGAGGAGGGGGAGGGGGCAGGCGAGGGAGCCCCGGCCCTGGGGGAGGGGCCCTGAGGGAGCCCTGATGGGCTTCCGGCACCATGGAGAGGTCCTGTGGGGCGGCCGCCCCTTCTCTCGGTCGTTTCCCTCTCGCCCAGAAGCGCGCGCCCCTTCTTCTATATATACAGAAACTCCCGATCAACCGCAGAGCGGCGGATGTTCATACAATTCTAATTAAAGGAGTGGATCACCCCCTGGGCCCCCCCCCCGCGGGCGGAAGCCTTTCAGAATTTTATGGGGGGGGGCCTCTGGATCGCGCACCCGCTGATGCGGACAGGGTTGGGCGCAGAAGGTCTCATTCGTCTTTCGGTTGTTGTTGTTGTTGTTGTTGTTGTTGGGGCCCGTTGTGGCGTCAAGAAAAATGTTTCCGAGCCTGTAGTCGGGGATCTTCTGACCCGGGTCGTTCCAGACCCGGTTCAGCAAGAAACCAAAAACTGCAATGCAAGAAAAAAACTGCAACGCAAGTCTTCGCATACCCGGGTCAGCCAATACGTGCGGCCGCCTCGCGGCCACGAGCGGCTCGCTAACCCGGGTCAGCCAGAGGGGGTCTTCGCAGGATCCTGCAGGATCCGGTGCCGTGGCTGACCCCCGTTTGCGTTGACCCCGTCTCAAAGCTCCAGAACTAGGCTTCACGCATCGAGTCCCGCGATGCGCGCCTGTCTTCGTAACCTCGTGCCGCCGCCCTGCGGAGGGAAGGGCACCTCTGCGGATCAGGCCACGACGCGCGCAGCGCCACTACAGTAAAAAACCCTAATAAGACGCGCAGTATTTGCGCGCCCCAGCGGGTGACCCCAACAACAACTGCTGGCCCTGCCAGGGTGTACGCGTTGGGGTCAACAACAGAAGCTGCGACTGGGCACGGACCCGCGGACGTCTTCTGACAAGGCAGGCCGACCAACTCCCGCTGAGCCCTGAGGGCACGCAGCCGCGGAAGCGCGTGGCTCGCACTCGGCGCTCGTTTGCTCGTGCCCAGCGGCCTATCCGACGTGCATGCTTTCGGTGTCCTAAATTGATTCGAGCCTACTCGATGTCATCTTCACCGGTTGTGACTGCTTCTGACCACGCTACGGGCGAAAGGAGATCTAGAACCTGCTGACCGTACACCGCCTACTCCACAATGCGCCGCAAATCTTTCCCTGTTGAGTCGCCCCATGACCGTGAGCGCTCAGAGCATGTGTTCACTCACGCACCACTCTGACGGTAGAGGACATGCATGTACACATTTCGATACAGCTCTGCTTCCGAGGTGGAACCGTCGTTGAACGTACCACAAAAAAAAACTGTGTCACACAAACCATGAGTTGATCGGAAATAGACTGTCATATTCGCATTGTGGTTGAAAAGCCATCCCAAGCATCCCAAACCATCCACCGACCTATACTTGCTCTGACCACTATCTGGTCCCTGTGCATTACGCCAAATACGTACTAAGTGTCCCAGTGTCGGACACGTTATGCGCTCACCTGGCCGTCAAGATGGAGTACCCTTAAGCTTATCCTTGCTCGTTTGATGTGTCAAGGAACCAACGAAATATCGGAGCCTTTGGTTCTACTATGCGCAAGCGGGACGTAAGCGCGCGCCCACGAATATTACACGTGCTCGTGATGATGCGCGGCCTCTGTGAGCCCGCGCTCAGGACGATGCCCTGGGAGCACCTATCACAGAACTATGTGTATGATCCATTCGACTGCCTTATCGCGGAAAAGGTCGTCAGCCCCGTCAAGTGGCACATGAAATACCATACTACCCGCAATGCTCTTTGAATGGGACGCAAACGACATAGCCATCGGTCGGAAGAAGTAGGTAAAAACATGAAGTAGGAAGGCGTTGAACCTTTATTTGGTTCCGTCCGCCCCGTAGGAGGACGGAAAAGGTGGAGCCACTCGATATTGAAGGAGGAAGGTGCTTCAGATAGATTGGAAGATGTGAATCCAAACGAAATGCCTACGTTCAACGACGGATGGGTAAACTGACATGGGGGAGCCCATTGGAGCAACGAAATCAAGCGGGCCCTACGCGAGAAGACAGGGCCACGTCACGCCGCGGCTTGCGCGGTCCGCTAGCACGGCACGCGACATTGAAAACGAGGTCGCTCGACCACGGCTTCACGCGGAAAGCTTACCCGCGAATGTCGGGGCAGTCGACCGCGTCTTCTTCTGGTCTGTCGCCCATGTGTCCATTGGGAATGCGAAGGTCCAGTATCCGAGGACGGACGAGCTGATCGGTGGACCAAACGCGCGTCTGGCACAGAAGGTGCCCACCCTGCACGAACAAAAACGCAAACAACGATGAGAGGTGCTCGGAAGCCGAGGCTCGGCAGCGGCACTGGCACATCGGCCTCGGAATTGTAACGCCTGCGACCTCAACCCCCCCGCCCCCCTGGAAGACAACGACGACAAAACGACGACAGGACACGACGCTCTCCCTGGAAGACAACGACAACGATAAGACGGCGATTGGAAGACGACGACGACAAGACGACGACCACGAGAGGATGACAACAACGACAAGACGACGACTACACGGCAGGGCGACTATCTGCGCGCATCCTGGACGACGAAGAAAAGAAGACATGACCAGGCAGAGACAACCCGGAACCTCTCTGGAGGGGAAAACAAACAACGACGTAAACATCTCAGCATCTCAGCTCGGAGATCAACCCGCGGAGCGCGCCAGGGGGGGCGCCGGAGTGGCCGCCAGGGGGGCCCAGCGCCGGTCCGAGCCTTCTGCGCGGACCTTCGAGTTCTTATGTTTATGTTCATGTCTCTCAGACATGAATGTTTTATGTATATATATATATATGTATGACATGTTGGTATGCTGATGTTTATGGTTATGTGAATGCTCTAGCTGTTATGTGCTATGTGTTCTGCTTGTTCCCCGACTCTCAGAGCTCGCGGGTCCGGAGTCCAGACGAGTCCAGAGGATGTCTCTTGGGCGCCGTGGGCCGATCCAAAGCGCTCGGGAACCGCGCCTTGCCGTCGCTCGGACGTCCATTCCCGTGCATGTTTCGGTGTCGTGCGTGCTGTTTTCGCTCGATGACCCAGGATGTTCCTCAAGGGTTCTCGCCGAGAAACAAATACACACGTCCGAGCGATGCCAGGGCGCCGAGGGTGCTCTGGAGCGCTCTGCGGCCTGGGGGGGCCTCGTCTCTCCGTGCATCTTCTCGGCTTCGTGCGTGCATGTTTCTTCGCGAGGGGATCTCAGGATTGGAGACCAACCAAAGCTGTAAACATGAACAGTTGGCGGCCCGTGCGGATTTCTTGGATGCGTGCTGGGCCCCCCTCCCTGGCGAGCTCCGGGCGCCAGGGGCGGCGCCAGAGGCGCCGCCAGGGGAGCCCAGCGCAGATCCAAGAAATCCGCACGGAGCTCCGACAGTTTATCTTATAGCGTCTTATTTGTTCGAAAGATGAACTTCGATGGCCCTCGCCGAGGGAAAGATGCACAAGTCCGACCACCGGGCAGGCGTCGCCGGGGATCTCCTGTGGCAGCCCGGATCTGCTGCAGCTTCTGGCCCCCGTCCGACTCGAGCGTTTCGGCACAAGTCGACGGGACCATCAGCGACAGCGACGCGAGGGGCTGCCTGGAGAGCAGCCTGGCGGAGGCGCGGGGTGTGTGGGGGGAGGAGCTCCGAGAAGGGGATCAGCTACAACTTCGATTTACCCCAACATTGCTTTTCTCGTCGACCTACAAAACTACGCATAGTGTCCCGTAAATTTGCGGAGCATCCTACGTACTTGCGCGTACATTCGACGAGAAAATTATTTCTGGGGTTTTGGGGTAAATCAAATCTGTAATCCATCGATCCCCATATTCGAAAGCTACAGGAGGCGGCAAGGGAGGCATGAAACAAGGCTGTGAGACAGGGGGAGCGGAGCGGACAGCGCGAGAGCGGGGAGAGGAACGAGCAGCAGAGAGGAGAGAGGTACTTTGGAAGTCACCAGGCGCCAGAGTGCGAAAGCGGTGCAGACGCCAGTCTCGGGGGCGGCCGAGAGGGGGTCGTCCAAGAGGGGCGGGCGCAATGGCCGGCGGCATGTGCGCGGACCAGAGGATGGGCCAAGGAAGTAATGAAACAAGAAGAGGTGCCGTGAAATCTGGGGAACCATCATGGCCCACGCCATGTTATCCACCCCCCCTAGTCATCACCTCCCTCGTGGCCGCCCCCGACAGTCGGGCTACGGGCGGGCCCCCCCTGAACTCATTGAGGCACAAGCGGAGAAAAAGAGAAGAAGAGACCAGCGAAAGGGCAGGAACCCCTGAGAACACACAATCCGTCGCGGGGGTGCCGAGGATGCAAGGCGCCAGAGCGCAGCTGCGACACCGGCAGCGGTGGCCGGAGCCAGAGACCGTGCCGGAGTAGGCCCTGAAAAGGCACACGAGCGTGAAGTGGTCCCAGGAGTACTCGGGTAGGCAGGGGGATAGAGGCACAGGGGAGGACAGGGGAAACTCTGAAAAGACACGTAGCGGTTCGCTAAAAGTGAAAGTACAGATCTTCAGTGTCACTGCGGGACCACACGGCTACACAGATCTGCGAATGCCAGGGTCTCTACAGCCTGCGAATGCCAGGGTCTCTACAGCCAGATACGCATGCAAGCGAGTTTCTCAATGCGCGTCGGCCACCATGGTTGCCTGACACACTCATGTTTCTAGAGGCTGAGTCACTGTGCAAATGCACTGTGAATTGTTCGAAAAAAGGACGACCGACGAAGGGAATTCCGACGTGCATCGGGCAAGATTCGCTGACCGCGCGACCCCCTAAAATAAGGCCCTGCCTGCACACCCTGGATCCGCCAAGGGCCCCTCAACGCCAGCCAGTTACGTCCAGAACTCGGGACAACTAGTGGATTCGTTGAAATCCTCCCCCTCCGGGTCCTCCTCCTCTTCCTCCTCCTCCTCCTCCTCCTCCTCTTCCCTCCCCTCCTCGATCGCCTCCTCGAACTCCTCCTCTTCTTTTTCCTCTTTTTCCTCCTCCTACTCCTTCTTCTCATTGTCCTCCTCCTCCTCCTCCCCCTCCTCCTGCTCTTCCTCCCATTCCTTCGCCCCCCGCGTGCTCCTCATCATCGTCCACCTCGTCCTCTCTCTTCCTCCTTGCTACCCCAGCTCGTCCTGACCGTGTGCCCGCGACTCCTGGTTGCCCGAGGCACCCACAGGGGGGCCCCAGGGCTCCCTCCTCGAGCTCGATAAGCGAGGACGCCTGAGAGGACAGGAGACCCTTCCGAGGACTTATGTTGCATCCTCGGGGGACCTTGTCTGTCCCGTCGCGGCCTTATCCGCGTCGAATCCGTGTCGAATCCACGTCGGCCTCGTCGGATCCGTGTCGAATCCGTGTCGAATCCGCGTCGAATCCACGCCAAATCCGAGTGAGTCCGCATCGAGCCCGCGTCGAGCATGAGATGAGACACCAATTTTGGGGACAGGCGAGGTCCCCCGAAACTGCAACGTAAGGGGACCGCGTTGCCCAAATAATGCAAAAGACGTGAAACACGATACGTCCGGTGCGCGTCGTGACGACCGCGTGGCTCGTTCAACCTTGAACAGTCGCGGCTTTCCGACAGCAGGGATCGCTCGATGTCGGCCACTGGCCATCTCTCGGACGTCCATTCCCTGTTTTTTTTTGGTTTCGTGCGTGGTTTTATCGCCAAATGATCAAGGATGCTCCTCGATGGTCCTCGCCGAAGGAAAAATGCACACGTCCGAGCGATGCCAAGGCCAATTCAGGGTCTCTGATCGCGATGGGGTCGCCGCAACGTCGACATGACACGAACCCGCCGCACTCAAACTCGACGGTACTACTCTTGACCTCCTCCCCATCCTCTCCCAGAAAAAGAATTCCACTGTCCAGCGCAGATGCAGGAAATCCTCGTGGAGCTCTGAATGTCAATGCATTTGCGCCGCTTGTTCTTCTCTGGTCATCTGCACACGTCGGGGGCAGCACAGAGGTCTGTATCAACCGGGAGGAGCCGCACACGGACGGAAAGGATCCGGACCGAGCACTCCGTGCGGACTTACTCCGTTAACATCGGCGGTGGACAAACCTCCCTTTAGTAATCCTCCCCTTGGTGAAAACGGCCTGGGACCGAAACCGACGGGCCTGGACCCGCAAAAATGACGGCCGCGACGCCCTCTCGCGAACCGAAAACGGCCAATTCACTAATCGACGTGTCAGGGTAAGAGGACTGTCCAACCCCGATAACATCTCATCAGAAGAGGCCGAGTCCGGACGGCGTGCGCCCGGACGGAGACCGAGCACTCCGCACGGATTCAACCGACGGACAGAGGAAGCACGCACGGAGACCGAGCCCGGAGGACGACCGTGTGCAAAGGGGACCCGCGGCAGCTTCTCCGACCCGGGGCTGCGGGAAACTGGCCCTCGCTTGGACGTCCATTCCCGATTCCCCATGCTCTGTTCGGTCTCGTGCGTGGCTTTTTCGCCAAATGATCAGGGATGCTCCTCGATGGCCCTCGCCGACGGAAAACTGCACGCGCCCGAGCGGTGCCGAGGACACGTTGGGGAGCGGAGCGCATCGGAAGCGCACCGCATCGCCGGCGAAGCGTCCCGAGTCCAACTCTGGCCCCGGCGCCCGGCTCCAGCCGGCCATGGCCGCTGCCCGTGGCCCCAACCGCGTGGCTCCTTGATCGGGGATCTTCTGACCCAGGTCAATAAAGACCCGGGTCAGCAGGACACCAAAAACTGCAATGCAGGAAAAACAAAACTGCAACGCAGGTCTTCGCAAACCTGGGCCAGCCAATGGGCGCGGCCGCCTCGCGGCCACGAGCGGCTCGCTGACCCGGGACAGCCAGAGGGGGTCTTCGCAGGATCCTGCAGGCTCCGGCGCTCTGGCTGACCCCGTTTGCACTGACCCCCGTCTCAAGGCTCCCGACTTGAGCAGGGACTGGCCGTCCCGGCACTCCTGTAGGTTAAGCCAGGAACAAGAAAAAACGGCACCAACACCACCAGGGACCACCAGACGGCGGAGCCAGGGAGGGGTCCCCTGTTGGCGTGGTCTCCCTTCTCGCTCGGGACATCCCCCATCCCCTGCTCGGAGTGGCATCGCGTACCTTCCCGCTGGAGGTGGCCCGCTGGTGGTGTTGGTGTCGCTTCTCCCCCCCCCATTAACCACGAGATGTTTCAGGAAAATGCACTGTTCGATGAATAAAGACAATGCTCTTCTTCGCCACCGTGCCCCTGGCACGAAGTGGAGTGCCCCAAGGCTTACGCACCACTGAGAGGGCTGTGTTGCTGCCACAACGGAAACCGTAAGTCTTCCTGGCCTGGCACGAGGTCCGCCGCAATCGCTCGCATCGACCTACCCCGCCCAGGAGGGCGCCTAAACGAGCCCAGATGGCTCTAAGAGGCCCCTAAAATTGTCAAGGAGGGCCCCCAGTCGCCCCAATATCGCTGCAAGACGCCCAGGATGGCCTCAAGATGGCCCCAGAGGCCTCCGAGACGTCACAAGAGGCCTCGAAGAGGCCTTCAAAGAGGGCCCCACGAGGCAAACATCATGGATATTCCTAGGAATTTTGAAGGATGTTGGCGTTCTCGCCTTTTCGGCTATCCAACGCTCCAAGACGGCCCAAGAGGCCCTCAAGACCGGCCCAGACCGGGACCTCCCCAAGAACGCCCAAGAGGCTTCCAAGAGGGCCTCAAGGCAGCTCAAGAGGTGCGAAAGACGGCCCAAGAGGGCCCCAAGACGGCCCCAAAAAAGGCCCACAAGAGAGAGTGCGAACCGAACATCCGAACCTTCCGCCCCACGAGGTCACCAGGAGGCCCCAAGAGGGCCCAGAACGGCCCCCAACAGGCATCAAAACTGTCTCCAGGAGGCCCCCAAGAGGCCTCCAACGAAATCCCAACGACCATCAATATGCTTTATACCAACAGTCTAAGCACGTTGGCAGAACGGGCCGAAGGCCATGAGATCCGCCGCCCCCTGTCGCTTCAGCAAAGGGGTGCCCGGCGTGCCAGACCCTATCGGTTTTGGTTTTGGTTCTTTTTCCAAAAGAACTCTCCCAGTGGGTTTCGGCCCGTCCCGCCGGGGTCCCGGACTTTTTTCCACGGCCCCAATTTCTGCCCCAGACGGCTCCAAGATGGCCTCCAAGATGGCCAAGATGGCCTCCAAAATGGTCCAAGATGGCCTCCAAGTCCGCCCAAGATGGTCCAAGGCGGCCTCCAAGACGGCCCAAGAGAGTCCAAGAGGGCCCCAGACGGCCCAAGAGGCCCCCAGAGGCCTCCCAGACGGAGGAGCTCCCTTTGGGGCTACCAGGCGTGTGAGGGGTGTGCCAGAATGCGTGCGGTGGCCGCATGCGAGCGCTGGCATTTGGGCCCTCGGTGCAGCTCCCTATGGGGCCACGAAACGTGTGAGAGGTGTGCCAGGTGCGGTGGCCGCATGCGAACGCTGACACTTGGGCCTTCGGTGGGTCTCCCTATGGGGCCACGAAACGTGTGAGGGGTGTGCCAAAATGGTTGCCTTGTTCGGAGGGCAGAGGCAGGGATCAGAGGAGGAAGAGGAGCGAGGAGGCAAGGAGGAGAGGAGACGCGGGGCGCTGTCTCTTCAGAGCGAGGACCCCACACCACAGGACGATTGGGAGAAAAGCATCTGGGGGATTGAAACAAGTACGCCGCCTGAGCATCCTCACAATTTGGGTACGAATCCTTAGGGGAACAAAAAATGGCATAAGCATAAAAACTCGGAAGTCCGGGCGGATTTCTCGGATCGGCGCTGGGCCCCCCCAGCGGCGCCTCTGGCGCCGCCCCTGGCGCGCTCCGTGCGCCAGGGAGGGGGGTCCAGCGCCGATCCGAGAAATCCGCGCGGACCTCCGAGTTGTTATGTTTATGTCACTTTTTGTTCCCCTAAATCTGGGTACGAATCCTGGCGCTCACCCCTGGGAGTGCAGCGACCAGCGCCTCGCCCGAGACATCCTCCCCAGTCTGGGCGCGGATCCCGGCGAAAGCCTTACCCCTTTGCGACCCCTCCAGTTCGGGGGCGGAAACCCATGTGTCGGGGATGGACAGACCTCCCTTTCGTAAAACGTGGTTTAGTGAAAACGACCTCGGGCCAAAACCTGGCGGGCGCAAGCCTGGAAAATGATGGCCGCGGCGCCCTCTCGAGCACCGAAAACGGACAATTCACTAATGGACGTGTCAGGGTAGGAGGTCTGTCCACCCCCGAATGTGTCACATTGCCTGGGACACCTAGATTTGCCCGCCCTCCGCGCGCTCAACGCAACCTGCATTCACGAGGCGTCGCGGGCATTGCAGGGCTCGGTCCAGTCCGGAAAGCAGCGTCTGCCTGGGAACAGCTCGTCGCCGCTGGAATGGGTCCCGCTGTTCTTCCTGCTCGCAGGCACAACTGCAAACGCTCGCGCAGGTAACACAAATACACGGTGCTCCCTCGAGGCACCATCGCGACATCACCCGGTGTTCAAGAGGCTTGGAAACTCCAAACATCACAAGCATCATAACCCTGAGCGGAGCCGCGGAGCCCGCGATCGAGTCTCCAAACACACCATCACGAAACGCACAGACAGCTGGCGAAGGAAGAAACATCATCATCATCATCATCATCATCATCATCATCATCATCATCATCATCACCATCATCACCATCACTATCACCATCACCATCACCATCACCATCCTCATCATCACCATCATCATAATCAGCATCAGCATCAGCATCAGCATCAGCATCAGCATCAGCATCAGCATCAGCATCAACATCATCGTCGTCGTCATCGTCCTCGTCCTCGCCATCATCGTCATCGTCGGCATCACCATCATGAATATTACAAGCATCAACATCAATATCATCACCAGCATCCGTGTGATCTCCATCATCATCATCATCAGTATTACCATCATCATCATCATCATCATCATCATCACCACCACCATCATCATCATCATCATCATCGGCATCATCACCAGCATCATCACCATCAGTGTGATCTTCTTTATCATCATCATCTCCACCATCAACACAAACATGATCATCAATGAATCTCCAAACCCACGATCACGAACGCCCGCATAGCCGGCGGAGACGGGAAAAGGGAGGACGCAGGGCGCTGGGCGCAGGCGGAGGTCGAGCACCCGGCGGATCGCAGGGCGGCGGCGCGTATCGGCGGCCACCGGCGGCCTTCAACCCTGAGCGCCCTCGCCAGGGTCGCCGCGGCGTCGAGGCGGCGCGACCCTACCGCGAGGGGCGAGGGGGGCTGGAGGATGGCACTGGCCATCGCTCGGGCGTCCATTCCCTGTGCTTTCTTCGACTTCGTGCGTGGTTTTTTCGCCAAATGATCAAGGATGCTCCTCGATGGTCCTCGCAGAAGGAAAAATGCACACGTCCGAGCGATGCCGAGGGCAGGGCGACGGGACGCGCTTTACTCTCCCCTCCGTCCCCCCTGCTGGGGGCCTCCCCGTGATCAGCTCCAGGCCCCTCTCCAGGCAGTCTGGGCTCTGTCCCCGCAGGTCCGCCCGGCGGTTGTTGTCTGCGGGGCGTGGCGGGGGAGGGGCAAAGGACGACGCCAATCAAATGAGGGCTGAGGAGTGGTGGGGGGGGGAGGGAGGGGGGGGGGGGGCACGGGGCTGACGGCGATAAAGACAATACTGGTAATGGTCCCCCACCCATGGAGATCGCGTTGTGCAAAAACATGTTTTTTACTTTGATGATGATGACGGCGGCGACGACGATGATGATGATGGTGGTGATGATGATGGCGATGGTGATAAAAGAAATTGTGATGATACTGATGGTGGCAATGAGGATGATGATGCTGATAATGGCGATGCTGATGCTGTTGACGAGGATGATGATGAGGATGTGTCTAGGGTGGGACAGACGCGCGAGCCCACAAAAGGGAAATCATCGCCAAGGAGGGACGATGGGCACCTCCGTGGGGGAGAAGGGGGGTGGACGGCGCCCCGAACTTGCAAAAATGACGGCCGCGACGCCCTCTGGCGAACCGAAAACGGCCAATTCCTTAATCGACGTGTCAGGGTAGGAGGTCTGTCCACCCCCGACTCTGGGAGGCGGCCGGGGGGTCTGAGCCGGATAGGCCTGAAGAGACAGTCGGTCAAGAAAGGACGAGGCGACGCGAGGCGAGCGCGCGATGTCAGTCCAGTGGACAGGCCCTGGGAGGGCAGTGCGGCGGGGCCGGAGCCCTCAGTGGTCGAGGAGGTGGGGAAGTGAGCGTCGGGTGTGGGTGTGAATGGAAGTCGAGAGGTGGATGTCGAAAGCTGAAGGTGACATGTTGGAGGCTGACATGTCGTGGTGAGCGTCGGAGGTTGGATGCTGGAAGCTGGAGGACAGTCGGGTGAGGTTGCCGATTGTGAGGTGCGGTCGTGAGGCTGAAGGTGTGCGCTGAGAGAAAACTGGAAGCTGGAGGTCGGTCAGGTGAGGCTGGCATTTAGGAGGTGGAGGTCGAAAGCTGGAGGTCGGAGGTTGGAGGTCGACAGCTGGTTGTGCACGGTGAGAGTCAGAAGTTTGAGGCTGGAAGTCTGGCAGGTGACTGTAGGGGTCGATGGGCGAAAATCGGAAAACTGGGTGTGGAAGATTGGAGGTCGACACTCGGTGGTGCTCGCTGGGAGTCGGAAGCTGTAAGCTGGATGCCTGTCGGTGAGGTTGAATCGATCGGCGCGTGAACGTCGACAGCTGGAGTTGCATGCTTGAAAGCTTTTATTGTTGCTGCATGCTGGGAGTCGGGCGCTGGGAGCTGCAAGTCGGTCACGTGAAACTGTGAAACTGGAAATCGGTAAGTGGAGGCGTGGCAAAAAAGGGCGGCGAGGGCAAATCCGCTCAAAAGCTGCCCCTGGACCTTGCCCGGGGTCGGAACTGACAAATGTTTGGCGCCGCGCCCATCCGTGGCGGAACCAGAACCGGGCCGCCTGTCCCGCAACTGGCTCCGCCGTAATGACAGTCGGACAACATTGGACAGGACACGCGAGAGGACACAAGACCCTTCCAAGGGCCACATCGCCACAGGAGTGTACGAAGGCACGTGTCGCGAGACACAGGACACGAAGGCACCCTTGAGCTGGCAGGGTCGACCTACTAACCCAGGCCGGCTGTAAGCCTGGAGACAGTCGGTCAAGAAAGGGCGGCGAGGGCAACTCCGCTCAAAAGCTGCCCCTGGACCCTTGCCCGGGGTCGAAACTGACAACCTTTCCGCGCCGCGCCCATCCGTGGCGGAGCCAGTGCTGGGCCGCCTGTCCCCCAGCTGGCTCCGACCTGATTACCTCCCTCCCCGAATCAGACTCAGTCTTCTGCAGGCTGGGGCGTCGCCTCATAGGGAGGGGGGGGCTATACATGGGGGGGGGGAGAAAAGGAGCACTTCTCGGGCCCCGAAAGCGCCCGTTTGGGCCCTGAAGGGCCCCTTTGCTGCAGTCCTCGCTGCCCCCCCCCCCACTTATCGCCCTCTCCCCTTGCGCGACGCCCAAGAGATGTTCAGCCGCGGCTGTCCCGACACCCCGCCGAGCGACTGTGCCGCCCAACCACATGGCGCTTCGCGCCCGCGCGATACGCGGTAACCCTCCAAGAGGGCAAGGATGGGGGGGACTGGCTCCCGGGGGGAAACATCGACCTGGAATCGGCGATGCGTTGCCGCTGGATCGGCGACAGCCCCCCGATGGTGAGCCCGCACGCTCCTGGGCGGGGTGGGCTATGGGGCCCCCTGCTGGCGATGAATGCATGGGCGATTGGGGGTCGATGCACCACCACCCCCTGGGATGACCCCCCCCATCCTTTCCAAGACGTTGGAGCATACCCTCCCGAGCCCCCCCTTCCACGAAGCATGTGAGAATCAGACTGTCTATGACAACTGCTTGGGATCACGCAAGCATTTTTTCAGAATCATCGTTGGGGTAAGGATACATATGCCAACGTGCGGTAAGGATACACATGTTCCGAAACTCCACAAAAGGCTAACGCTGCCCCTGATCTGAGCCCCCGCACAGGACCCAGAAGGAAACGAGGAGGCGGGCCCAGACCCCGGAGCGAGCCCTCAACTTCTGACTCAGTCGAGCCGCTGGCCGCCGCAAACCTCCACGAGGTTCCAGGACTCCCCGCGGCCCTGGCGAGCGGCGAACGCATCCATATCCACGCCCTCGCCGTCTAGGAGGAGGAGGAGGAGGAGGAAGAGCAGGAGGAGGAGGAGGAGGAGGGGGAGGGGCAGGAGGAGGAGGAGGAGGAGGAGGAGGAGGAGGAGGAGGGGGATTCCAAAGCGCGATCCTGCGGATGCGCGCTCGCACGGATCACGCTCCGCGCGGGGGGCACACGACGTATAAATTATGCCGTTCGCCCACGAGTCCCCGAGGTTGCCCTTATCACCCATCACCCATGGTCGAAAACTGCGAGAACAAAACCAGCGCGCTTGTTCTAAATGGGTAAGCCCTGGCTGCACGGCCCGCGGGTCGCGAGGCGCTCTCCTGGAGCAGGCAACGTAGCCCCATCAGACTCCTGGGAGCGTAGAATGTCTGGTCGCTTCTGGCTTTTCGTCCTTCTCGGCCCTCCTGAGGACTCAGGACGCTTCCGGAGGCCTCCCCTGACCTCTGGGAACCTCGACGGACCTCAAGTAAGTTCCGGAGACCTCAGGTCCCAGGAGCAGGAACTTCCTTCATATTGCCCCTCCTCATCCTCCTCCCCGTCTGAAGCCTTTCCTGAGGTCACCGCTCACCAGAACTCCTCTGCTTCCTCCTCGTCCTCATCTTTTTCTTTCTCTACCTCAGGAGGGACAGGAGTAGGAAGACGAGGGTGCTCGAAGAGATTATCGTTTAGGGGCGCCATAAACCCGTTGGTGGGACCAAAGGCCTGCGGCACCACCACGGTCTAACACTTGGGGACAGTGCAACGATGGAAAGCGACGAAGGGATTGCCAGAGAGCCTCCGAGAAACCCCACTGGCTAAGCACCATGTCCTGCCTCGAGTGCGACGGTTCAGCTTGAACCTCGTACCGCCGCTGCAGCTGGAGGAAAACGAGGAGGAAGACGAGGAGGAGGGCCCTCTCCTGCGTCAGGGATCTGCTGCATGGTGAGGTCACACTTCATCGCCCGCAGCAGCTGGAAGACTTGCCCGCCTCCGCAGCGGCGCACGCTCTCGGGCGTGGCGAGGCTCGCCGCACAAGGAAAAGGGATGGATGGGGCACGGACGACCGATAGGTGGAGACATCCGAACGAGCGCGCTTCGTGGACGCGTGATCGGAATGAATTCCTTGGACACGTCGGAACCGGGATGGGGGGGCAAAAAACACTGGCGCGCCCAGATAACCACCCCCTCCCACTCCCACCCCCCGGGGACACTCGCCACCCTAACCAGAAGGAGAGCCACCACCCCCCACCCCTTTGATAGGGGAACAAGAAGTGACATAAACAGAAAAACTCGGAGGTCCGCGCGGATTTCTTGGATCGGCGCTGTAACGCCCTTCCTGGCGCGCGGAGCGCACCAGGGGCGGCGCTGGAGGCGCCGCCGGGGGGCACAAGCGCCGATCCGAGAAATCCGCGCGGACCTCCGAGTTTTTTTTGTCCATGTCACTTTTCGGTCGCCTGGTTGAAGGAAGAAAAAAAGGTTTAAACCGCCCCGCGCCCTTTTTCCCTTTCACTTTCAAAAAAGCAAGGGGGCGGGGCGACCAACCGGGGCGCCTCACCGGGGCGGCCGCACCCCGCGGCCAGCCAGGGGGCTCGGCGATCGACTTGGATCGAGCGCTTCATTTGCAGACCGCGCATAGTTTTTCAGTCGCAGCTCGCCCCGCCGCCCCGCCGCCAAAATCCCGGACCCCCTCCCAGGAGAGCCCAGAGTCGACTCGAGAAGTCGGCTCGGCGATTGGCTTGGATCGAGCGCTTCTCATCATTTCTCCTTCAGACCAGCGCGGCTGATAATTTCCTGTCGGATGATGTGCGTCTCAGCTCGGCAGATTGCCTACAGCTCGAGTTAGGTAGAGAGAACCAACATCGCCGCTCAAAACATTTGCAGACTGCGCATAGTTTTTCAGTCGCAGCTCGACCCGCGGCCCCGCCGCCAAAATCCCGACCCCCTCCCAGGAGAGCCCAGAACCCAGAATCGATTCGAGAAGTCCGATCGGCGATCGACATGGATCGCATCGGCGGGAGTCGGCGGCCGGGCCGGGAAACGTCGGCTCGGCGGAGATCGGCGGGCCAGCTTGTGCGTACAATAAGAACTCGGAGCGCACATCGGGACCCCCAATCGAATCGGCTCGGAGTCGGAAGCCACCCGAGTCGAATCGAATCGAGGCCGGGGCATCGAAACGAGCCCCGCCCTCTCGCCCCCGGCGCAGCGGCCGCGGCCGCCGCGGAGCGGGGCCGCCCCCTGGCAGCGCGAGAGGAAACGTTTTGTCGGCCCCGTGCCCCCCATGACGCCGAGGCAAGGGGCTCGGCCCGCGGAAGGTATGCAGTTCGGGCTGGCCTTAAGTCGGGCCTACCCCCTTCAGGTGGATTTTCTACGAAAAATGAATAATACACAAAGAATGCCCCAAATGGGCCAAAAAATGTTCAAAAATTACTCCCCAGATAGTTTGTCTTATTTTTGGGCTATTTTGGGGGTATTTTTATTTTTCGTCGAAAATCCACCTGTAAAGGGACAGGCCCGACAGGGGTGAACAAAAAAAGGGGGGTGAAAAAAAACCCGGGGGGCGAGAAACGAAAACAGGTTTTTCTTGTCCCCCCCGGGCTTTTTCCACCCCCGGGACTTTTTACACCCCGGCCCTCTGGGAGGCCACGGGGGCCCGAGGGCTGACGATTTTGGAGCGGCAGGGGCGGCGATGCGGACTGGTCAACTGGCCATCGCTCGGACGTCCATTTCCCGTGCATTTGTTGGTTTCGTGCGTGTTTTTGTTTGCTCGATGGTCCAGGATGCTCCTCGATGGTCCTTGCCGAAGGAAAAATGCACACGTCCGAGCGATGCCGAGTCAAAGGCCCCCCCCGCCCCCGGTAATTAACCCTCGCCGAGAGCCTGGGTTATCCAGGGGGCGGGGCACCAGACCCCCTCGAGCCACAGCAAAAATCACGACGGAGGGTTACAGATTCCGGGGGCGTCGGCCGATAGCATAACCTGCTCGCTTTGAGCAGCCGCAGGTATGCCCGAGCGCACCAATACTGCGTACCCCCCTCGGAGACCTGCGCAACCGACAAGGTCAGATCAGCCATGGGAAGTGGGGGGGACGGGCGGGCCCGATAGCCCGACTTTTTGCCAAATAAGAAAACAATCTCCAACCTCGAATCGGGAAATCGACTGTCGGAATGCACCTCGGATCGGGCCCCATAGATCCAAGGCCCCGAACAAACATGGAACGGCCAATTTGCGGAAATGTTCGGCTTCCCGGAGCCCTCAACGGGCCCCGGGACCATCAAAGAACGACTCAGGATCAACACCAGGCTGAAGGGAAGTAAGTTGTCCAGACTTCCGGGGGTCCACGCATCGAAACAACATGGGCGCCAAATGTCTGGGGCTGCCTTTGCACGGAGTCGGAATCGACTCTGATCGGCCGCGCCAGGATGCACAACAACGTTATACAAGCATAAGGCCACACTGGATCGTCGGAATGTCGGAATCGAATCGGATCGGGCCAGCCGGAATCGACGTCGAATCGGATCGATCCAATCGGAATAGACCCTGTTTGGTCACCGTCACCTCTCTCAAGAGAGGAAGAGAAAAACTGCAAACGTAAACAACACCTCTCTGAAATCAGCGCAGATATCTCGGATCTTAGTCGCGCACCAAGAGCGGCGCCATGGGCGGCGCCAGAAGCTCGGCCAGGGGTGCCCAGCGCCGATCCGAGAAATCCTGGCTGACTGCCGAATGTGTACATTAGATGTATGTCTATGCCATTCTGTCAAACCCTTATCGTCGGGCACACGCTAACACGGGTCAGGGATCCGTGGATCTGAAACGGGACCCGTCGCTAACTCACGCGCCTCACAGTCAACCCGCAGAGTAAGGATGCGCGATAAGGATGCAAGGCCCTTGGACGCCCATTTCGCAGCGCTTCGAGCGGGGCGCGGCCCACGAAAGCGTCCGAGGATGGACCCAGGAAGCAAGGATGCAAGGGTACCCCTTGGGAGGGATGCCCATCCTCACTCTGCCAGTCGACTGTCACCCAGCGGTGTGTGCTCGATGTCGACAAGGAACGGGCGATCGAAGGCCGATGCGTGCCCCTGTGCCCGCCCCTGTGGCTGGGCGGGGGCTCTTGGCGTGGCTGGGGCGCACCCGGCGGGCGAGGCAGCGCGTCCCCCATGGGGGGGCAGGAGGAGGAGGAGGAGGAGGAGGAGGAGGAGGAGGAGGAGGAGGAGGAGGAGGAAGGAGGAGGAGAAGGAGGAGGAGGAGGAGGAGGAAGGAGGAGGAGGAGGAGGAGGGAGGGGGGAAGAGGAGCAGGGGAGGAGGAGGAGGAGGAGGAGGAGGAGGAGGGAGCAGGAGGAGGGAGGAGGAGGAGGAGGATCCTTCCTCCGTGAGCTTGTCCGCGCCCCAACACTGCCCCTGTGATCCCTCCCGCTGGCGCGCGCCTTTGCCGACGACCTTGCCGGCCTCCTCCTGCGGCACCAGCAGCCCTATCTTCAACGGGGCACCGGCGGACTCCTCGCACGACAGATTGCTTCCGCCATTCTACCTCCACCTCTTACCACTCTTCCCCCTCCATCATCATATACATTGCCATCGCCATTGATATCACCATCACCATCACACAACCATCACCACCACCCTCACTATCACAATCATCATCATCATCATCATCATCATCATCATCATCATCATCATCATCATCATCATCAGCATCATCATCATCATCAATCATCATCATCATCATCATCATCATCAGGATCGCCGTCGACGTCATGATCAGCAATATCAACACCACGAGATCATCGTCATCATCATCACCACCACCACTACAACTATCATCGTCATCGTCACCATCAGTGGAGTCTCACCAGCACCACCATCACCACCATCACCATCATCACCCTCATCCTCACCCCTCCCCCTCCCCCTCACCAGCACCATCATCATCGTTGTCACAAGCATCATCAACATCATAATTATCAGTAGCAGCAGCATCAGCATCATCACCATCATGACCATCATCAACACTATCATCAACAGCACCACTACAACCATCATCATCATCATCATCATCATCATCATCATCACCACCGCACTCGACACCAACACAAACACCACCATGATCATCATGATCATCATGATCAGCATCATCATCATCAGCATCATCATCATCATCATCATCATCATCATCATCCTCACCATCACCATCACCATCACCATCAGCATCATCATCATCAGCAGTAGCATCGGCATCAGCATCAGCATCAACATCGTCATCATCATCATCATCAGCAGCAGCATCATCATTGTCAGCATTGTCATCATTGTCATCATTGTCATCATTGTCATCATTGTCAGCATTGTCGTCATTGTAATCATTGTCATCAGTGCCATCATTGTCATCATTCTCAGCATTGTCATCATTGTCAGCATTGTCATCATTGTCATCATCTGCATCATAATAATCATCATCAGCACCATTGCCATCATTGTCATCATCATCGTCCCATCGTCACGATCACAATCCACCATCGCCGACACCAGAATGATCCTCCGCTTCCTGCCACCCACCCCACAAGCAAGAGGCGTCCCTCGCCCGAGCAGGCAGGCGGGAGGCCTCCAGCAGCCCCTGCTCCCACGACCCGCGCCCCGGACACGGGCAGGAGTCCTCGCCCGACCCCTGGGCGGATCTCACTCGGGGGCGTCCACTGGCCATCGCTCGGACGTCCATTCCCTGCGTTTTTTTCCGGTTTCGTGCGTGTCTTTTTCGCCAAATGATCAAGGATGCTCCTCGATGGTCCTCGCCGAAGGCAAAACGCACACGTCCGAGCGATGCCAGGAGGAGGGGGGGCGTCCACGCGGGGGTATTCGCAGATCGTGGCCCGAGGCTCGCGCGCGTCCCCGAGGGGGCCAGGGGGCGCATTGAGATAAGAAGAGGCGCCACTGAAATCTGGGGAGGCATCACGAGAGAAACAAAAGACGGCATAACACATAACCTTTTGGAGCTTCAAAAAGCGCCACGGTGTCTATGTATTTCGTCTTCGAACCATGGCCCTGGCAATGACATCCGCGTCCCCCGGTAGGTGGCGCGCCCGGGGCGGAAGGAAGAGAGGGCAGACATTCTCAGCAGGCTCGACAATCCTCTGGCCTTCCGAGAACTGCTCTGAGCCCTCCCTGGAGACGCAGAGAGCTTCTGCCCCGCCAGCTTCTGAGAGGGCCTCCTTCTCATTCCCACGCCTCGCTCTCGCCGCCGACGCAAACTGCTTGAGCTCCAGCAGTGTATATCGATGCTGTTTTTGTTCCCCGTCGTTTTTTTTTCCCCGTCGTCGAATCGCAGCCCTGGCCATGCTGTCCCACCCCACCTAGTCTTATGTCGTGCGTGTCTCCCTACAGGGGGATTTTCGACGAAAAAATAGAAATACCCCCAAAATAGTTCAAAAAGGTACACACAACACATTTTTGCTTGAATATTTTGGGGGTGTGTTGTTTTAATTGTTCTTCGAAAATCCCCCTGTAAGGGGGACAGGCCCGACTTAAACCTAGTCGTTTCCCCCCTCTTCGACACCTTGCAGTTTTCGGTCCATAGCTCGGGCCTCCGGCGGCCGTTCGGGACGCTCTGGGCACCCCTGGGAGGCCCCTGGGAAGCTCCCGACGAGGCGCAGCCGCTGAGAAGCATCCTGAATCTGGCGAGCAGACTGGAACCCACGAGAACGCCCGGAAACGCCCGACAACCTCGAACCTCCAACCCGAGAACCCCCCGACACCCCAGTCATCATCCCCCTCTTGGCCGCCCCGAGCCCTGGTACCAGCAGGAGCCCTCACCCGACCCCCCGGGGCGGCTCTCAACGCGCGGACAGGCTGCGAGCTGCGCGCAAGTGGGGCGCCAACAGGAGGCGCGTGCGCCCTGCCATGTACACGGACACGTCCCCTCAAAGAAGCTCCCAAGAGGCCCCAACATTCCTCCCCAGAGGCCGCCCAGAGCCCTCCGAAAATAGGGGAACGAAGAATGACATAAACATAAAAACTCGGAGGTCCGCGCAGATTTCTCGGATCGGCGCTGGACCCCCCTCCCTGGCACGCGGACGGCGCTAGGGGCGGCGCCGGAGGCGCCGCCAGGGGGGTCCAGCGCGGATCCGAGAAACCCGCGCGAACCTCAGAGTTGTTAGGTTTATGCCATTATTCGCTCCCCTAGAAAAGGGCCCCCTCTGGGGACTCTGGCCCACGTCAGCGCCGTCGTCGTCGTCGCCGCCGCCGCCGCCGTCGTCTTCCTTCAGTGAAGGGGCCCACAAACACACAAATAAATACACACAAATAAAAAAAACGTATATTTTTATATATTTTCTGGGTTTCTGTCTTCCCCCCGACTGCCCATATTTTCTGGGAATCGACGAATAATGGTGTCTGTGTGTTCTTTCCCTCCTGATTCAGGGTGGTCGGTCGGCAAGTCGTGCGCGCCCAGCCGCGCACATGAATATACGGCACCCCCCCTCGGGGGCGCGCGCACTGGAGGGCAGGGCGAGGGGGGAAGGCTTCCTGGAGGGAGGCCGCAGCTTAGAAGGCGGCGGCCCTCACATCTATGGACAAGGCCCGCGCCTTCTGTTTTTCTTCTTCACCCACGATGAAGACGCAGCCGCTAAGGCTCCTTAAACGCGACCTGGGGGTGAAGAGCTCCCCTGACTCTCGGCGGAAGTCGAAGGTCTTATGTACAACATGGTACCAGTCCTCTAACCTTCTAGGAAGCAGGGGTGCTTCCAAGAGGGCTCCCCCCCTCCCCCGTACCACCTCTGCGCGTGACCAGAATACCCCCCACCAGTCCCCGAGGCTAGCCTCGCGTTGCGAACACTCGCGCAAACTCACCTGAGTTCAACTACACGTACGTCACTTCTTCGCTCCAAAGAATGCCGCTGCCCGCATCGGGCCGCATCGGATCAGATCGGATCGTCGGAACGTCGGAATCGAGTCGGATCGGGCCGGCCGACATCGACATCGAATCGGATCGATCGGATCGCATTGGACCCTCGACCGCCCGCCAGTTGACGGGCCCAGGCCGAGCATGGCACGGATGGGAACCGCGCGTATACACACTGAGGTATCTGGGCCCTGTCCCTGGGGCTTCGCAGAAACGCCATAAGACAACGTACAGTGCACAGTGCACAAATTTCTGGCCCGTTCTCTGGGCGACAGGTGTTGAAACAATGTACGCTATGTTTCGGCCACCGGCTGCCACTAAGTGTTGGACAAACATAACATAGTACACAGTCGGACCTGATTGGACAGGACCCTCGAGAGGACACAAGACTCTACCGACGGCAACGCGGCCCCAAACACCACAGGACATGCGGATTGCGTAGGTCGCTAGGCAGGACACAAGGGCACCCTCGATTTGGCATGGTCGACATACCAACCAGGGCCGGCCGTAGTGGACGAGTTCGTTGGGGGGCCCAAAGAACATACACCACCACCACGTCGATCCCTCCTCTCTCCTACTTCCAGCGAGAGGGAGGGGGGGAGGGAGGTGGTGGTGGTGTATATTTTTGGGGGCCCCCGACTCGTGGCCCCGAACGTGCGGGACGGGAAAACTACCACAACCACTGCTTCTTGTTTGCGCCGCCTTCCAGCCGGCCGGAAGAACATCCAGAAGAGCAGGTGCGAACTAATTGTTTGGCTCGGCCCGAGCGCCCAGGCCGGAGGGCACCGTACTGTGAATGCAATGCATGTGGTGTTTGCCTTTTCTCTCCCCTTCTCCTTCTCCCCTCCTCCTCCCCCCATTGCCTTGTTTAGCAGGCGCATTGGCAGTGATTGTTTGAAGTCGCACTTTTTCTCGCCTACGCGCCGGACGGCGTACGGCTAGTGCAGTGCAGTGCAGTGCAGTGCGTCCTTCTTTCGCTTCTGAGATTTTTCCACACACGTCTCGGGCCAGACGAAAGGGGGGATAACAAAAGGGGGTTTAGCGATTCGCCTCACGCAACTGATTTTCCCGGCGCCTCCTGGCGCTGGGAAGCGCCCATGTATCGAGGAATGGGCCTGGTGGCTGGGCCGAAACCAGCCGCATGCGGCAGACTTGGTCCCCCACCCCTTCCCTATCCCCCCCACTTTCGTTCGGCCCGATCGTCCCTCGTCCCTGACGGCGCCACCGCGACCTACTCCGACCCCAGACATCCGACGTCTCGACTTTTTCGAGACACGGGCGCTCCCGACCTCCCGACCACTTCCCCGGGACCGGTTTTCCATCCCGAGTCGCTTTCTGAGGGTCCCGAGGCCCCGCGACGGCCCCGAGAGGCCAAAAACCAAAAACTGCGAAAAACCTCCGTCTCGATTGTTTCGAGACGCCCGACGTCTGGGGAGCTTGTGGCCGCAGCTGCGCTCCTGGGCCGCGGGCGTCTTAAAGGCCGCCGCGGGGGCGGCCGCCTTGGCCCCCTCGGGGCCCGTGCGCGGGCGCTTCCACGCCGGCTGCGGCCTCGGCTCGCGGGCCGGTCGGAGGAGGAGGAGGAGGAGGAGGAGGAGGAGGAGGAGGAAAAGGAAAAGGGAAAGGAGGAAGAGGAGGAGGAGGAGGAGAAGGAAGAGGAGGAGGAGGAGGAGGAGGAGGAGGATAGGGGAACAAAAAGTGGCATAAACATAAAAACTCGGAGATCCGCGCGGATTTCTCGGATCGGCGCTGGACCCCCCTCCCTGGCGCGCGAAGCGCGCCAAGGGTGGCGCCTCCGGCGCATGAGGGCCCCAGCGCCGATCCGAGAAATCCGCGCGGACCTCCACGTTTTTATGTGTATGCCACTTTTTGTTCCGAGGAGGAGGAGGCGGAGGAGGAGGAGGAGGAGGAGGAGGACGGGAGGCAACTCCTGGGGGGCCCTCGTAAGAACGGCGAGGGGCCACAGGGCCCGATGATAGGGCCATTGAAACGGATCGTTCGCCGGTCGGAAGATCTTGAAGGGGCCCTGAGACACACTAATAAATACACACAAATAAACAGGTTCCCAATATTTTCTCATATTTTCTGGGTTTTTGTCTTTCCCCGTACTTCCCATAATTTTCCATATGTTCCTGGGAATCGACGGTTAATTGTGTCTGTGTTTTTTCCCTCCTGAACAACGCCCGATGAAAGGTCCACTGAACTGGACTGTACGCCCATCGGAAGCTCTGGGTAGAAACATGAAGCAGGAAGGCGTTGGAAGTACAGTCGGACTTGGTTGGACAGGACACGCGAGAGGACACAAGACCCTTCCGAGGGCCACATTGCCACAAGAATTTAAGAAGCATGGTTCGCGAGACACAGGACACAAGGGTACCCTTGATCTGGCAGGGTCGACCTACTAATCCGGGCCGACTGTATTGTACGCCGGTCGAAAGATCTGGTTACAAACATGAAGTAGGAAGGCGTTGGAAGTAGATTGGGCATCCGCCCGCCACCTGAAGAGGAGGGAAGAAGGAAACCAGCTGATCCTTGAAATAGAAGGCGCCAAAAATCGATTGGGATCTGGGAATCCGAAAATACGTACGTTCGACGACCGGCGTGTAGGCCGGAGCAAGCCGGATCAGGCGGCTTGGGCGTCGCTGCTTTTTAGGGGCGGTAAATATGGGGGGGGGGAGGAAGGTGCTCTCGGGCCCTAGAGGCTTCTTTTGGACCCCCAGGAGCCCCTTCATGGGCCCTAGGGACACCCTTTTTGCAGCCCTCGCTGACCCCACCATTGATTGCCCCCCCGCTACGCGACGCCAAAACCCGATCAGGCCAGCGGAAGCTGGATCAAGCTGCATAGGGCCAGATTGAGACCACTGCGGATGGGTCCGTCTCGTGGCTCTTCCCGTGATGCCTGCCACGAGGACCTATGCACGACCAGGGCCAGGAAGTGAGCTGCTTCTTGCTCGTTGATTCCTTGTGGCAAGACCTCGAATGTATATATACACACTGGATTTGGAACGCAACTCCTGGATGGTTGAATCCAGCAAGGGCGTCGGAGTTGCATCCCAAGGAGGGGCAGCAAGGGTGGGCGCATCTTGGGCAAAGCAACGCTGATGGTCTGGGCCATTTCACGGCGTCCAGGGGGCCCTCGGCTCGCCCTGGGACCGTCATCAAGCCGATTCTGGATGAGAAGCGATGCAGGTCTCTGGGGGGCCACACTGGGACGAAAGTGCAACGTCAGACGTCTGAGAGGGGGGGGTCCTTCAGCCTCTCTTTATCAACAACTCCCCCCTGTCGCACCCCGAGGCCTGTCGGAAGGGCGGGTCAGGCGTTTCGCCTGAGACTTCCTTACCATCTATGATCCTGTAGTTCACAGATGGGCAACCGTCTCACAGATGAAGGGCGTGCCGCTTCCAAAATGTGGCTCTCGTCTCAGCGCCACGCGCGTTCGACTCAAAATTGTGCAAGTGTTTCACGGATTGAGGACAGGTGGTTTTCAACATGTGGCTCTCGCCTTAGCGCCACGCACATCCGTTTCAAACATCTGCAAGAGTTTCGCGGATTGAGGGCGGACTGTTTGGAAAATGCGGCTCTCGCCTTAGCGCCGTGCACATTCGATAACACGAGTGAATTGGTTTCACGGGTCGAGGGCGGGCCGTTTCCAAAATCTGGCTCTGGCCTAAGCGCCGAGCCCATTCGTTTCAAACAATGGTACGGATTTCACGGATTCCCGCGGCGAACGTACCAAACATGGTGTTGTCGGACGCTCCAGGATTATCAGGGCGCAACAGTTACATTGAGTCGAGGCGTCAAAATTCCAGGATCGGTGCTCTGGCACGATTCAAGATCGCCAAGACGCAACAGTCTGGTTGATTCGTGGTCTCGAGAATGGTGTTTGGCACGCTTCAATATCTTCAAGCGGTTGTCTCCAACGGGGCACTTTCTGCAGTGGAAGTGAATCTGTGTAGGGGGCTATGGAGAGGGAGCTTGGAGGGAAGGTTCATCCCAACATCGTTGATGAGTCTTGGGTATACGCGGGTCCTCCTCCTCCCCCTCCTCTTCCTCCTCCTCTTCCTCTAGATGAGACTGCGACGACAAAGATAATGAACTATTGGTGACCCGCGAGGGTTTGTTGGGACGCATCTACCCGCGCAGCCCCTGGCGCGCTCCGAGCGCCAAGGAAAGGTTCCAGCGCAGATACGACGAATCCGCGCGGACCTCCGAAAGTGTATATTGATAAAGTTGTTTTGTCGATCCTGCTTATCCTCCTTCTTGCTATACATCAACGGTCTGGTTGGACGGTGCTATGGGCCCCCCAGGGGCCATGTACTGGACACAGTTGGCCCCCATGGGGGGCCCGAATCTATCCAGATCCACCGCCTCACGGGGTCCTGGAGGATCGGTGCTCCAAGTGGTGGATCTGTAGACAGTCCCGCCTCGAACTCCTCCTTATCATCCTGGTCCTCCTCCTCCTCCTGAGGAGGAGGAGGAGGAGGAGGGGGAGGAGGAGGAGGATCCTTCAGGCGGAGGAGGGGGGGCAAGATGGGAAGAAAGGAAGGAGCTCCCAAACGGACCCGAGAGGGCCCAATACTCCCGCCAAAACGCCGCCTCCAAGAAGCGTCCGACTGGTATCCCTTGAGATCCAGGCAAACAATCCAGGCACGGTAGCGGAATGGGCCGAAGGCCACTGAATGTGTATAGATCAAACTGCACACTCACACACACACACTAAAACTATCTAGGGCGCTTCGCGCGCGCTCAAGTTCTACCCCGTCATGCAACGTCAGGCGTTACCCACAACTGATGTGAGCACATGGTGAATAAGGTTTAGCAGCGCGGACCGACGAGGTACACTCATCAAGCAGATGTACTTACCAACAGGACGCGCAAAGCAAACCACAACAGCGCCCCCTAGGCCCCTGGGGGAACTAACGAGAGGTCCATAAGGCAGTCCAATATTAATGATCCCAAGAGCGCTTCGAGAGGGGCTCCAAGGTGTGCCCAAGGGAGACTCCATAATGGCCCCAAGTATGCGTTCCTGGAGACTCCTCCACCACATCCTCCTCCTCCTCCTCCTCCTCCTCCTCCTCCCCCCTCCTCCTCCCCCCTCCTCTGGAGCTCATCCGCTGGCGAGAGCCTGGTCGTCCACGCGTACGTCTTCCGTCCAGCGTCTCCCCCGTCGTATGGCTGTCATCTCTCTCTGCTCCTCCCTCCCGCCACCCAGTCTGCCTATCATCTTGCACGTTCGAGCCTGGAGGTCCCCCAGAGACCCCTCGACGAGTCGTGGCCCAATGTAAGCTCCCGAAGGCGTGAGAACCTTCAGAAATCGCACAAGCCGTTCCGAAGTTTCCGAGCGGTCTCTGGGGAGAATAGTGGAGCCTGTTGGTCGCTATTTAGAGGTTTTCGGGAGGGCTCGTGGGAGTCTCTGGGGGTCTTGGTGGGTGCCTTGTAAGGCCTCTTGGGGTCTCTTGGAGACTCGCTTGGGCTGGTGGTGGCATTCTCGGGTTTTTGGGAGGCCTCGTGGGAACCTTTTCGGGGCCTTTTGGGGGTCTCTTGGAGGTCTCCTGGGACCTCTTGGAGCCTTTGGGGGCGTCTTGTGGGTTCCTGGGGCCTCATGGAAAGTGTTTCGGGCCGTCCCGCGGCAGGCTGGAGGGCCTCATGGGGGCGATCTTGAGGCCTCGGCAGCCCATCGGAGGCGAAAGGGTGAGAAGGCAAATATCATTGAATCCTCACAAAAGTTTAAAACAAATGTTGTTCTCGGACGCGTCCTGGTCCTGGGGTGTCTCCCGAGGCCATCTGAGGCTGGCGTGAACATTGCGAACTGCACTGACGGCCTCTGACATTTTTCCAACAAATTGCAAACGGTCGGGCGGGATGTCCGCTGCACCATTCGAACCTCGCAACTTTGAACTCGCAAAAAGGACTGCACAACATAGAGTCCACTTGTCGTGAACCGCGCAGATTGCCACTACAATGCGAACTAGCCGGGACCTGGTTTAAGGATGTGTACTGGGGGACGCCCCCCCCGCCCCGTTCCACTAACTTGAATTGCTGTTACCCGAAGAAACACCAACTACGGCAGACGTGGTTTAGCGATTCTGGCCAATTTAGGGGCTCCGGGGCCCTACTACTAACCGGGTCCCTCTACCTGGGGTCCTGGCTATACCCGAACAAGCTCGCTGTCTTGGCTTCGCGCCGGCAGACATTTGCCGCCCCAGCCAAATCCCAAAGAAAGCTCAACTATCCAAATCACACAAGCTCATACCCCCAACACAGTCATGCTCGTTCTCGGCATGCACATGCCCATCACGTCATGGCTCAGCCGCACACGCGTACGTTAGCATACCTCATGTCGCGTTCTTTTGAGAAGGTTGTAAGTCTCATCCGTGCCGATGCATACACATACACATCTGTACGCATATGTCGGCCCACATCGCCATGTACATCCACACCTGTACTCACACATGCAGGGGCTTTGGAATTTGGCGCTGCAGATGACTTTGGAAATGAGGGAGCACGTACAAATGTATCGACGCGTGCATCTACGCGCGTGTCTACGTGTT